AAAAGAAAACACACAAAGAATACATGCAACTCAGATTTCTCTTTATATGCGAGTTGTTCGACAAATTTAAAATGACAATAAAAATTAGTCGAGACACCCATTTTTGTTTTATAAAGAATTTGAAATTTTAATAAATAAAGTTAAGAAATAAATGTTTATTAAAATGATTCAATTTCAAATTCGAAAAACGCATTAATTTAGTATCCGTGCAAAATCGAATTCATTAATTCACAGAATTTTCATAATAAAAAAAATACATATAACATATAACTTTAAAACTACAATAAAAATTAGTCGAGATACCCATCTTTGTTTTATAAAGAATTTGAGATTTTAATGAATAAAGTTAAGGAATAAATATTCATTAAAATGATTCAATTTCAAATTCGAAAAGTGCATTAATTTAGTATATATGACGCGAGAACATTTTCAGATATATGGTCCACGTCAGGGAAAGCGATCGGCGAAATCGAAGACTCATCGGCGTTCTCTATAAGTTTCGGTTAACCGCTGACGAATGATCGACAGCGATCGATCGTGAGGAAATAGCCTCGGTGGTTGCGGGCAGAGATGACGGCGGTAAACGCGAAAGGACCGCATGTTCATCGCGTTTCTGTCTGTGACGCGCGGAAAAAGTCGTGGAATGTGATTGCCGTTGATCGTCCGCAATAAAATCGCCTCGCAATAAGATGACCGGTTTGCTATGCTAATAAATTATGGTATCCGTCGCGGGCAAGTCATGCGAAGAAAGACTTCGCCTGACTTCACAGTCTCCTCTCGGAAAATTTAATTGCATTAAATGGGAAAATCGTAAACAGGCGCACAGAAAAAAAATAAGTGTTAAATCAAAACTTATATACTTAAATTAACGCGTTCATTGTTTCAGATATACGCAACAATTTCTAATCTTCTTAGAAGAATTTAATAATTTTAAATTTCAACAATATTATAGTCTTATTTTAATATTATAATTGTTATCTCAAGAATATATAATATGTAATTCTACTTTAAGAAAATTATAATCTTTCATTTAAAAATGTTATTTTCTATCCGACATTGTTTCTTTTCCAGTCAAGAAAATTAAATCTTAAATCGTAAGAATATATTTTTCTCGATTGAACTATACTATAGGGTAACATAACTATAGGGTGTCCTATTCTAAAGGACCCACTCAAATATCTCAGAAACACTGCGTTAAATCGAAAAATGTTTCAAACAAAAGTTGTGTGGCTTCAAGGAGGCCATAAGATGGTGGCAAAAATTTGACCTTGGATAGTCATTTGAAGGTCACATAAAGATCACCTTCAATTTCTTAAATGGAACCTACTTTTCATTGCATATTCTTATAGCTTATCTCGAGAGCTTTCCAAAACACTGTAATAAAGTATTTTTTCATCAAGTACTTTTCGAGTTATGAGGCTTGAAATCACTTCTTAATTTTACATAAACCGTAAAATATCTTGTAAAATATTCATTTTTCGATTATTTTCCCTTAATACTTTTATGTACAAAATAATTAGAGGAATCAATTGGTATAAAGAAAACACATAATTGTTTCGAAGAAAAAATATGTAATTTGCAATTAACAATTCCATATTTTTTCTTAAAAACAACTGTATGTTTTCTTTACACCAATTGATTCCTCTCATTATTTTGTATATAAAAGTATTAAGGTAAGATAATCGAAAAATGAATATTTTACTAGATATTTTATAATTTGTAAAATTAAGAAATGATTTCAAGTCTTATAACTCAAAAAGTACTTAACGAAAAGGTACTTAATTATAGTATTTTGGAAAGCTCTCGAGATAAGCTACAAAAATATGTAATGAGAAAATGTAGGTTCCATTTAAGAAATTGAAGGTGACTTTCATGTGACCTTCAAATAACTCTTCAAAGTCAAACCAATGGTACCATCTTATGTCCCCCTTGAAACCATACAACTTTTGTCTGAAACATTTTTGTTTGCTGGGCTTAGTTTTTGAGATATTTTACTGTCCAAGTTAAAATGGGACATCTTGTATAAAATGGCTTCATTCAAATAAGCAATTATTCAAGCAATTATATTTTTCTTTAATTAACGCAATATAATCTCATTTTAAGATTTCCATTGTTAAGACTAAATATATTTTCGAAACAAGAATGTCCTTTTTTTCTGTGCGAATAAGTATTCGAGCCGGAAAATAATAATGATTTTGCGAATCAGGAACCGAGCCAATTCACGATATGCCCAGCGAGCACTTAATTCGTTCCGTACTTTCACTATATTGCCGTTAAATATATATCTTTCATCCAGTTATACAGATGATAATATATGTATATAAATTGCAATATGACGATAATTACGCAATTAAGTAAACAAAACAATATTCTGCTGCGCATATATATTTCCGAAATCATGTAAATAATAATTTAAATGCAATATTACTCGCGAAATTTGCGAAATTATTGCACGCCGGGCAAAAATAATAACATTTTCGCACGCAAATAATAATATTTGTCATCGAGCTAATACACATAAGAAAATTCCTCGCGCTATTCAATAATGCATGTCTTTGAAATCGCGATAAATCCCCGTCGGAAAAACTTATTTGTTCACGTCCAAACTTTACTTTGCGTAATATAATACGTGCTTGGCGATTTTTCGATACTAGAACGAAGCAACCCTCGGTTCGATGTTCAATCTCGACGGATGCAGCCGAGGAAGATTGCTCTCTCTCTCTCTCTCTCTCTCGCGCGCGCGCGCGCGCACGAGTCTGGCATTCGCACGCACGAATGACGCGTGAAAGGAACATATGGCGTTTTATACGAGGCCAGGCCTCCTGCATCTTGCCTTCTTTTAAGGCTTTTCGACGCCACCTGTTACGTAAATGCGAGAGGAAGAGGACCCCCCGAGCCTTTTCGCGAGAGACGCGGTCGATTGATTCGCATTGTAATCAACGATTCACGTTCCTCTTCCCACCTGACGACCACCATTCAGCCGCTCGACAACGGAGAGTACCACCGTGCGTATGATTATAATAATTCTAGCTAGCGATGGCATTGATACCCTTGGTGACGCTGAGCTATCGAGTACGTGGTACCTTCCGCGAGCTATTGTTGGCCGGCAACAGCCTCGCAGTGAGATATCAATTCATTTAAACGAGCTATCAATTCACCACGTGCGTCGTAAGAACGAGAAATAACGAGAGATTTCAACGAGGTAGCGAATAAGATATTTATGGCTATAAACTTCTTTAGATGTAAGATAAATCAATTCGCTTCGTTTTATTATACCCAACATTTTTCACGACGAAGGCTGCAATTTACTTTATATTATCTCTTAATAAATTAAAGTTTAAAGCTGTTTAAACCGTGCCTCACTCACCAGAAAATAATTTTCGCCATCTCGTGTAATTATATATTTCTAATCGTGATATATGTACACTGAGGGAAAAATTGTTTTGAATCAAATAAATTTGTTTTCTTGAAACTTTTGCTCTAAATGGAAGGAATTGTTTATTTCATTTAAGCGAAAGCATTTAATTTTCATTAAATATGCATGTTATATTAAGTATATTATTTTCATTTATATATTTCTTATATTTAAATATTATTTTCGTAAAATATATACTATAATTTATTAAATTAAATATATTATTTTTTAAAATTAAAAAATTTAAAATTTTTGGGAATAAAAAATGCATTTTAATAAATATTTTGTAAAATAAAAATATTTAATTAAAAATTATATTTTTTTAAGTATATATATATTTTTAAACATATGTAAATAAATACTTAACTTAAGCAAACAGACGTTTTAAATACAAGTAAATAAGTGATTAGTACCCACCGAATAAAAATAGCTTTCTTGAGTTAACTCAAATTTTTTTATTTCAAGATAATTTTTCCCTCAGTGTAGGTAAGATAAATCTCTGTTGAAAATTTTATAACAATTGCAAATATTAATTCCAAAATTGATACATGTATTTCTGATTATTTTGTTAAATAATAAATTATTAAATTATAAAATTATTAAAATTATTAAATTATTAAATTATAATAAATTTTATTTCACTGTATCAATCTCGAAATATTTCTCCATTTATTATATTCTTTTTCAAATCAACCGACCAAAACTTCTTTAGATATAAGATAAATCAATTCGCTTCGTTTTATTATACCCAACATATTTTACGATAAAAGCTGCAATTTACTTTATATTATCTCTTAATAAATTAAAGTTTAAAGCTGTTTAAACCGTGCCTCACTCACCAGATAAATAATTTTCGCCATCTCGTGTAATTATATATTTCTAATCGTGATATATGTAGAGGTAAAATAATGATAAATGTCTCTTGAAAATTTTATAATAATTGCAAATATTAATTCCAAAATTGATACATGCATTTCTTATTATTTTGTTAAATCATAAATTATCAAATTATAAAATTATTGAAATTATTAAATTATTAAGTTATAATAAATTTTATTTCACTGTATCAATCTCGAATTTCTCCATCTATTATATTCCTTTTAATCAACCGACCAAAACTTCTTTAGATATAAGATAAATCAATTCTCTTCGTTTTATTATACCCCCCACATTTTTCACAATAAAAGCTGCAATTTACTTTATATTATCTCTTAATAAATTAAAGTTTGAAGCTGTTTAAACCGTGCCTTACTCACCAGATAAATAATTTTCGCCATCTCGAGTAATTATACAGGGTGCCCCAAAATGGGACACTCTGTATATTTCTAATTATGATGTAAGTAGATAAAATAATGATAAATCTCTCTTTAAAATTTTATAATAACTGCAAATATTAATTCAAAAATTGATACATGTATTTCTTATTATTCTGTTAAATAATAAATTATAATAAATTTTATTTCACTGCATGAATCTCGAAATATTTCTCCATTTATTAAATTCTTTCGACTCGACCGACCAAAGGATACCTCAAATAACATGTGAAGCAAGGCAGGGTTAAATGAAGCTGTTGAAAATGACTCACCGTTGATATGCATTTGTGGCTCGGCGAGATAAATTCCAGGCCCCGCTGCCCCTCGCCGCTGAAGCACTTCTGTATGTTGCTCATGAACTTGCGGCGGATCGCTTTGAGGGAGTAAACACATAAAGCCGAATGCGGACGCGGCACGTCGCTGTTGGGCCCGTCGCTCTCGGCGAACACGGCGAACAGCACGTCGTCCTGGGCGGTGATGCCGAGATCGCCGGCGAGCACCGAGCCGGCCTTGCCAACGTAGGCGGCCTGCACCAGGTTGTAGATGCGCTCGTCGCTGGTGCAATTAATCGGTATTTCCGTATACGAGTAATAGTGCTCGTCGTCTTGGCACACGCGCACCAGCTTCGACAGGTAGATCGGCGTCTCCGTATTCTTCATCTGCGTGGTGAGGAAGTAACTGAAGCCGCCGCTGCTGAAGCCGTAGATGTAGTTGATCGGGTAACGCTCGCGTGACAAGGAATTGACGTACATCCGCGTGCCGGTCGTGACCGCGGCCTCGGCAATGTTCAGCATCTTGTCCTTGTCGAGGGAGCGCGAGCTCACAGCCGGCACTTCCGAGCGATAGGGCGAATTCCCTGTGAAGGTCACGCCGACGTACATGACCTGGGAGACGGGAGGATTCGGCGGGCCGGGTGCGATGAACGCGACCGTCGAGGCGGTGGCATTGTTCGCCACCACCGCCTCCTTGACCTCCTGCACCACATCCGATATGTTGTGCAAATTGCGCACCGTGCACATGCCCTGAAAGAGACTGCCGCAGGAGATGAGCCGCGTGGTGGTGTAATCGATCACCAGGGCCTTGTTCACGTTGTCGACCGGGCGTTTTTGCGCCTCGCGGGGACAATCCAGCATCGAGCACGCCGTGGAATCGCCCTTCGGCCCGGTGACCTCTTTGACGACCAGCACCAGGTCCGGCGACAGCTGATAGAGACGATTGACCGCGCCCACGTACACCCGCCCGGTGTTCTTGTCCACTACCAGATGGTTCATGCGTTCCACCTCCGAATCGTGGAACTTCTGCACGATATCGGCCGGCAATGAGCGCGCTGTCGGCAACCGCGATGATAGCGACAATGTCAGGATTAGGATCATAAGCGGCAGCGGCAGACGACAGCCTCGTCGACGCGACCGCGGTATCGTCGACCGCATCGCCTTCATCGTCCCCGTCATCGCTGCTGGGAAGACTGACAACATGTCTATTCTACTTCCACGCTATGGACTCCGTCGTGTCTTCTTCTTCCTTCTCCTCCTCCTCCGCTCTGCCCGGCGATCCTGGCGGAGGCGGCCTCTTTCTCGAGCCTCGCCCAGGCCTGCGACAAAGAGATACATGTCGATTATTATATGAAGTGCTTGAGGAATTTAACGAAGAAATATAATAGGCAATTTTACATTTTTAATCATATTAATAATAGAAAATTATGTAATAATTATATAACAATTATGTAACAATTATACAGGGTGTATCTGAAATGATGCACTAAACTTTACACGGTAAAAAACATTTTGTACTTTACACGGTAAAAAACATTTTATATTTCTGTTAAAATTTTCTCGTGTCAAAATTTTTGTGTTAAATTTTTTTAACATAAGAGTGTGTTAATGTAATATATTATCATTGCGTTATTTTGACATTTCTGCGTTGAGTTAATATTCATCATTTCTAAGAGTTAAAACAACACAATTAATGTGTAAATGCACGAATTTTTGATGAAATATGTTATATGTTAAAATGAACAGATAAGTTGTGTTATTTTTCTCTCTATAACAGATGTTAAATCGACATATCTCTTCTGTTATTTATCATAAAAATGTAAGAATAACATTTTCTTCTAATTAAATTTAACATTATAAATATGTTAATTTAACATAAACTTTATTTCCAGATAAAGTTTAAGTGTTACACTTTCGTGTTAATTTTTAAACATATTACTTGTGTTATTTATTTACATACTTGTCTTCTGTTAAATTAACATTAAAATTAGAGTGAATAAATTGGAACATGTGAAATATGTTAAATTTTACAAAACTTTTTACTGTGTAGGAGCGTATTCTAGAGGCAAAATCTCTCAAAATAAGACATTTTTCTTATAAACATGCACTGAGAAAAAAATCTGGTTGCATTAATTAGAATTCTGGTAGATTCAACCAATATGTCTGTTGAAAAATGGACAAACCAGAATTCTTGTAGGAATTACCAGATGAATCTGATTAATTTCTTCCTGTTAAATTTACCAAATTTTCTGGTTAATAATACTAAACCCGCCAGCACCAAGTCGTCTAAAATTTTTTCCATCTAATCTCAAAAGTCTGTTTAATATTTTGAACAAGATTCTAACAAGATTATTGGATAAATTCAATCCAGATTATTGAATAAATTATTTTAAATTCAGTTTGTTAGAAATTAAACTGATAAACAGTGATGCAAGAAGAGGATGCAGCTCAAACACACAATCAGAGAGCTAGGGTCCCCTTTCTGGCACTACTGCTCGTAAGAAAAAAAAATATACTTTGGATTTAATGTTAATACTAGTTCTCTCTCTCTCTTTATATACATTTTATGGCAAATATTGAATACGAGTTAAGTTAAGAGTGTCAAGCAAAGAAATTAATGTAACAAGAAATTTTATAAATCTAAGCAGAAAATACTAATCAAATCCTTATAGTAAAATCTATTAAATTCTATTTATAAAGAAATTAGTAAAATCTATTAAATTCTAGTTATAAAGAAATCGAGTCTAATCATGATAACTAGAAATTCTTGTTTGATTTAACCAAAATGCTTTCAATCATATACGTCTTGTTGGTATAATCAAACAATCAAAACCTTTTTTTTCTGAAATACAGCCAATTTTTAATTTTTTCCCTAAACCTTAGGAGCCTCTAGCTCGGGGGAGGGTTCATTCGCGGACCCATGTTCATAGGAAAAAAAGTCTTATTTTGACCTCTAGAATACGCTCCTAAAGTTTAGTGCATCATTTCAGATACACCCTGTATAATAATTATATAACAATTATATAACAATTATATAATATAAAATAAATTTGTAATTATATTAACAATATAAAATTATATATATTAACGCACGAATAGTAAAGATACTTGAAGATCAAGTGTGTAATACAAACATAGGAAAAAATCAATTAAAAGAATGAAAATTCCATTTTTATGTGGCGACAAAGTTCTCTCTCTTCTCGATTATAATAAGACTTGTTAAGTTCATGGAGTGGAGGAAGTTAATTACACCGATATGTAATTAATTGCGAATAGATTTTTAGAAATATCATGCATATGTACGAAATAACATTCACTACACACAAGCAACTATTATCTCCTCGAACTCAAGGTGAGAGCACCTCTTGCACGCGATACAATCTACTTTCGATCAAAGGGAAAGGTGCAATTAGTGCAACGGAACAATTATTGCCAACGGTCTACGAGATAGGGATCAAGCCTAATAATAAAGAGGATAACAAACAATGCGCGGTGAAAAGCTAATATTAAATAAAAAATTCTTATAAAAACTTTAGAATAGGCAAAAAATAAATAATGAGATATATATTTATATATATAAATATATATGAATAATAATAATAATTATAATAATAATAATAATTTATATATATATAAATAATAATAATTACATATCCCGGATTCAGCAACAAAGGTATGTCGTCGAGAAGAAAGGCATTTAAAATGAAACGTTACTTCTCGTTAATGGAACGTAAATATTTTTTATGCGATCGAAAGTGCTCCTCACCGATCGTTTGGCAGTTCACGTACTTGAGAGATTCGACGAACGAGACTACGTAGCAGGATGAAAGTAATGAGGCTACGGCGGCAGCGAGACGGGGGGGGGGCAGGGAAGGGAGGAGGGGAACGTGCGATTTATCGAGCGAGGAAAACCAGGTGCCTTTGAAACGTGGCCCCCCCGACGCATCTCTCGGCCCCCCCCTCTTAAGAAAATGAAACGGCCGACTTCGAGCAGCCGTTGGGAAAAGCCAAGGGAGAGGAAGGCGGAGTAAAGGGCGAACGAAGGGAGGAAAAAAAGAGACGGCACAATCTCTTTCTCTCTCTCTCTCTCCCTCTCTCTCTCGCTCTCGTCTCTTATCGCGACGCGAAGGGTAACGGCTGATCGAGAACAAAACTTTTCTTATTTCCCGAAGACCCGTTTCTCCCCCTTCTCCCCTACCCTCCTCTCCATCTGAATTACACCCCACCGATTTTATTCGATGTCAATCTCGGTTTATAGCGTTTTGCAGATTAAAAACATCCGCGTGCGAAAATCCTCCGTACTTTGCACAATCTCAAGATATAATTCCGAACGATCGCGGAAAGTTTCAATATATTTAAAAAAAAGAAGGATTATATATTCATATAAATTTATAGGATTAGATAGAAAAAATTGTAATTGTTAAATTAATAATAATTAAAATTAATAACAATTAAAATTAAATTTTAAAAAGCAGGATTATATATTCATATAAATTTATAATGAGATTAGATAGAAAAAATTGTTAAGGATGTATTGGAGATATATTACAATCAATGAGATCGCCGTGAATTTTTAATTTAACATTCTTAATAACATTATAAATCGTCATGAATTATTTCAAATTTTTTTACTTGTTCCCTTAAAAGTTATTAATTTTTGAATTTTGCGATTTTAACATAGGATCTTATGTAAACGTTCAAGAGGCAGGTAATAAATTATTCACAAACTATAAAAAGCAATGATAAAAATTTCATTTTTTAATATTATATTCTTAATACATGTAAAACTGTTCCTACAAAGTTTTAAAACGATTTACTTGCTCGTTTTGAAATTATTATTAAAAAATAACTGATTATCGGTTTGATGCAATATTGATGATAAAATATTGATGATTGATGTGGCAACATTTTCTTGGAAATTAAGACCTGTTTATATTAAAGAATCCTTTGAAGTATGATTTCGTGATTTTTAAAAAAATTTTGATCAATTAGAATTCGTATTCTGCTCAACTTTAATTTTTTGGTACTTTGGATTAACTTTTGAGACAGACGGTCCGTCCAATACATCCTTAAATTAATAAAAATTAAAATTAATAACAATTAAAATTAATAAAAAAATTAAAATTAATAAAAATTAAAACGAATAAAAAAAGACTAATAGAAACAGAATTAATACAAATAATAAATTAATATAAAAATAAATGATTTTTTTTGGAGGAAACAATACATACAATATGTGCTTTGCGCATTCCATTCGAATGGAACGACGACTGCTATCGATTTGTTTATTAACTGCGACGTAGTTTCGAAGTATGTCTCATAGACTATAGACTTGGAATCGTCAATACGCGTCATTCATTAAATGACGAATCGGAGAGTCCAATATCGCACAACAGTATACATTTGTTCCACGGAAAAAAAAAGAGATAACAAAGTTCGCGTGATTGTATGAGCCATTCGCGGTGAATAAGCGGTATAAATAATGTGCGATTGCAGGTACAAAGAAAGTAGATCAGGTGACACGTGCACCGATAAATATTGAATCAAACCGTGAAGCATGCAGTTTCCGTGCAGGGGGGAAATTTCTACGATGCAAGAATTCGCCGAGATAAAATTGCTTAAGAAACGGCGCAAGCAGCGAGCGAGTGTCTCTAATTCCTTAATATTTTATTGAAAATAACGAACACGATGTCGCATCTCTGTGGCCCAGAGAGGCGGATAGACGAGCACGCTAACTATCGTACACGCTAAACTCCGGTAACTCCCCGTATCTGATGAACAGAACGCGCGTACCTTTCTTCGCGAATTCCCATTGTGTTAAGGAGGAGCGACACGCACCTTGATGTCGGTTAAAACGGTAATTAACGAGTGTCTTAATTGCTCTCGGCAGTTTGTACCGCGATCTCACCGAAGCGATACACGACGGAGACACCTCTCGTTTCCGACGACGAACTACGTTAGTCGAGAAAGTCAAACATGCGTGAAACTACGAGCTAATTAGCGTGCTGACTCGAGGCGATGCGAAATTCATGGCTACAGAGGAGGAGAGGAGGAAGGGCGGGGGGGGAAGGGAAGATACTTCAAAGTATCAAAATTGTCATGGTATCGACAATCTTGTTCTGCAACATTGATATGTTATAATGTATAATGAGTACAAGTCGCAAAGAGATTTAATGGAACGTTAAAAAATTATAAACCATAATTAGTACACTGAGAAAAATCGTTTCATTATATCAACAAGACGTATATGATTGAAGACATTTTAGTTAAATCAAACAAGAATTTCTAGTTATCATGATAAGACTCGATTTTTTATAGC